AGTATCGAACTTTCTGAGATGTTTCTTTGAAGTCCTTTTCCCCTGCACTTGAGATAAGGGAAAAGTAACCTTCTACCTTGGAGGTACATACAAATCACATCACAGCTCAGTTGTCTCCAAAAATACTCTTCCAGTTATCTACTTCTTTTTGGCCTTTCTCTCCTCTTCGGTGAGCTGAAAATAGGTAATTAATTGCGGGCCCCAAAAACAGTGGTCAGTGTTATCCTTTGCAAGTCTTGTACCTCATTTTGTAGAATGGAAGGGGCAGTCTTTTTTTTGACTTATTATCATCTCAAGATTGCAGCTGATATTAAGAAAAAAATAGTCCATTTTAACATCCTATAATATCTGCAAATCAGTTGCTTATTGTCCTCTATAAAATTATTTTGAACATACATTGATTGATACATTTGTACAATCTGCAAAACACAGAATGAGGCCCTGTGGTACTTCTACTATAGCAGGAAAGAAAAAGCAGGTAGCAAAGAACAGCTAGCTTAACCAAATCTGTTAACTGCAGTTAGAGGATGACCCAGTATTCCTCACATTCAGCCTAACATAATCATTCGGAACACAAATTCGAGAGTGAGACTGCTTGGGTTTGAATCACAGCTTTTCTCTATATAGCTGTGTGTCTTTAGCCAAGTTATCAGGTCACCTTGTGCTTTAGTTTTCTCATCTGCCAAATGGAGATAAAATAGTTCCTCTCTCATGGGGCTGTTATGAGAAATACCAGAGTTAGTATTTGTAAAGTACCATAACACTATAGGGGTGTTTGTTAAAGATAACAAATCTCTTAAATAAGGTTCTTAATTTTTACCCCCTGTGGAGCTATATCACATACATGTTAAAAATATATACCACGTTAAATAATTTACTGAAAATGAGAAAATTGCAATCCTACCAAAATGAGGAAATAATAATTACTTGCACAAAAGACCTGTGTGAAAAAAGTCTAAAAAAAAAAAGCCTCCACAGGCCCTTGAATAAAATTTTAGTTTTCATGAGAATCCTGCTGTTTGTTTATCACTAGAATCATTCTACAGAAAACCAAAATGCCTTACAATGGAATATATTTTAAAGTAGAGATTATGAGATATATGGTAGACATTGCAAATAAATCTGGGGGAAAACAGTACATCTGAAGTCTATATAGCTTTTAAAATTGCCCTACTCCTTGAACCAAAGTAAAAAAGGAAATATACTTTTAAGTCATGTTGCCCATCAAGCCTAAAACAAATCAAAACCCACAAATTAAAGCCCATATTAATTATAAGAAAGAGATCCTTTATGGATAGTAAGAAGCAGAAAAAAAATGGGAGCCTTTTGCTTATGAGTATGAAGGGTACAATGAGCAATTCCCAAATAACGTCCTCAGATACTTCCATTTACTTGATCTGATTTTATACAAGATTTTCTTAAAATAATTCTCAGCCTAAGCCAATGCTATACTTTTACCACCTAGTTCAATGATGGGAATCCAGTGAGAGGTTAAGAGGATGTAACCACGTCTTCAGGTTTTCTGATATTCTGATTGTAAATTTCTACAAGAATGGTTAGATTTTGTGTCCTTGAGACCCCTCTTCTCCCATGTTCTTCCTCTCAACTGAGGTTTGATGAAAGGTGAGCTGCAGACAGTTAGAGGTGATGTACTCTGATGGGGGCCTACAGGGCAGGTCTTCTGTGCTACTGATTAAGGGCAAATCCACATGCCTTACAAATCAACAGTGCTCGTGGTGGAGTTGACAGTCCTGCTGTTAGAGAATGCTCCTCAGAGGCAGAGGACATAAGTACACGCTTCTCTTTGCTTCCTCACGTTATGAAATTCTAAAGTTAACAGCAACAAACTTTGCACTTCGAATTATTTTAATGCTGCTTTGCATAATTCAGAAAGGAAGTTAATTTTAGATCACGGTTTCTTGGCTTAGATAGACACCAAAACTGGGGGACCGAATCCTAGTTCTACTCCTTGTCTATTAAGTTACTCGACTTGACCAAGTCATTGTACCGTCCTGTGTCATAGTTTCATCATCTATAAAATAAAGAAATTGAATAAGTTTCAGGCTGTTAGCATTTGGTGACTCTTTTTGTGAATAAAGACTAAGAAACGGTACCTGTCACATACCTGTCCATGTGCCCCATGCCCTTTAGAATGTTATTCTCTATTATGAGGACTTATCATTGGACTCCAAACATACTGAATTGCTGTGATTTTAGGAGTTCTTAAAAGAGAGATTTTCAAGCCTTTTTGGGGGGGGGGTGTTGGCAGATGGTAAGAGTGGAGTAAAGGAACTATGTTAGAGGAGTTGAGAGAATGTCCTCCCACACAGGCAGCAATGCACCTTTTCTGTGGCAACCTCTGGGAGTTCTCTTGAAAGTATTTATATTGGCCTATCAGTCATCCATGAAAAAGATGCTCCAGATTGACTCAAATGTTAAGAATCTTGCTTCTAGGATGTGAATTTTTCAAAAGCAAATTTGAAGAAGAGCAATTGTTGTCTAAAGCATGTTCTTGAATAATATACTGTACATATTTTTTTTGTTTAAATTTATGGCTTCCTAGAACAGGGAGTAGGAGGGTGAATGGGGTAACTACATGACAAGAGGAAGTGCCTCCTAGAGGACCTAAATATATATAGATATATATAGTTATGAAAAGAACCCAAGATGAACTTTACTGAACTGTGAATATCTTGAGAGAAGTGATTATACACACATATATAAGTGATTTTACATACACGCACACGTATGTATCTCTGAATCTGTTTTTACTTTTTATTTATTTAAACTAGAAAAAAAATTGACCTATATCTGTCACCTCTCATCTCCTGCCTCTTGCAAGCACCAGTCTGTTCTCTGTATCTATAAATGTGGTGTATTTTTTGTTTTAGATTCTATATATAAGAGAGATGACACAGTATTTGTCATTCTCTGATTTATTTCACATAGCATAATGACCTGGAGGTCTATCCATGTTGTTGCAAATGGTAAGATAGTTATTTTTTATGGCTGAATAATATTCCATTGTATATACCATGATTTCTTTATTTATTCATCCATCTATGAATCCTTAGGTTGTTTCCATTTCTTGGCTATTATAAGTAATGCTTCAGTGAACATGGGGGCACATATATCTTTGTGAATTAGTATTTTTGATTCCTTTGGATATATTCCCAGAAGTGGAATTGCTGGATCATATGATAATTATATTTTTACTTTTTTGAAGAACTTCCATCCTGTTTTCCTTAGTGGTTGTACCAATTTACGTTCACATCAATAGTGTACAAGAGTTTTCTTTTCTTCACATCTTCTCCAACACTTATTTTTTGCCTTTTGATAATAGCCATTCTAACAGGTGTAAAGTGATACCTCATTGTAGCTTTAATTTGCATTTTCCTGATGACTATGATGTTGAGTATTTTGTTATGTACTGGTGGGCCATCTGTATGTCTTCTTTGGAAAAATGTCTATTCAGATGTTTGCTTATTTTTAAATTAGATTGTTTTGTTACTGTTGAATTGTATGAGCTCTTTATGTATTTTGACTGCCAGCCCTTTATCAGATGTATGATTTGCAGTTATTTTCTCCCATCCAGTAGGTTGCCTTTTCATTTTGTTGATGGTTTCCTTTGCTGTGAACAAGTTTTTTAGTTTGATGTAGTCCTACATATTTATTTTTGTTTTTGGCGTGAGATTAAAAAATCACCACCAAGACTTATATCAAGGAGCCTACTGCGTATGTTATCTTCTAGGATTTTTATGATTTCAGGTCTTATGTCAAGTCTTTAATACATTTTAAGTTAATTTTTGTGTATGGTATAAGACAGTTGTCCAGTTTCATTTTTTTACATATGGCTGTCCACTTTTCCCAACACTATTTGTTGAAGAGAATGTTCTTTTCCCATTAAGTATTCTTGGCTCCGTTGTTGTAAATTAATTGGCCATGTATGTGTGGGTATATTTCTGGGCTCTCTATTCTATTTCATTGATCTGTGTATCTGTTTTTAATGCCAACACCATAGTGTTTTGATTTACTCGAGCTTTGTAACATAGTTTGAAATCAAGGAGCAAAATGTCTCCAGCTTTGTTTTTTCTTCCTCAAGATTGGTTTGGCTATTCAGGGCCTTTTGTGGTTTCATGCAAATTTTTTGATTGCTCTATTTCTATGGAAAATGCTACTGGAAATTTAATAGGAATACATTACATCTGTATAATGCTTTGGGTAGCATGGACATTGTGACAACATTAATTCTTCTAATCCATGAATGTGTAATTTCTTGCCATTTATCTGTGTTTTATTCACTTCATGTAATCATTGTCTTATAGTTTTCAAAAATACAGATATTTCACCTCCTTGGTCACATTTATACCCATATATTTTATTCCCTTTGATGTAATTGCAAATTCAATTGTTTTCTTAATTTCTCCGTCTGATAGTTCATTATTAGTGTAAATAATTAGTGTAAAGAGATTTTTGTCTATTGATTTCATTTCCTGCTACTTTACTGAGCTCATTTATGAGCTCCTACAGGTTTTTTTTAAAGTTTTTTTTTTAATATTTTATTCATTCATGAGAGACACAGAGAGAGAGAGGCAGAGACACAGGCAAAGGGAGAAGCAGGCTCCATGCAGGGAGCCCGACGTGGGACTCGATCCCAGGTCTCCAGGATCAGACTCTGGGCTGAAGGCAGTGCTAAATCGCTGAGCCACGGGGATGCCCCATCTAACAGTTTTTTAATGGAGTTTTTTTTTTTTTTTTGGTTTCTATATATAATGTTGTGTCATTTGCAAATAGCGACAGTTTTCCTTCTTCCTTCTAATTTGGATGCCTTTTATTCCTTTTTCTCACCAATTGCTGTGGCTAGAAGTCCCAACGTCATGTTGAACAAAAGTGGCAAGAATGGACAATCTTGTCTTGTTCCTATACTTAATTCTTACTAAATACTGACTAATCAGTATAATAACTTCATACAACTTTTTTTGTCCCCTCCTCCCTTCCAGCACCAAGGAAAAATTGGAGTTAAATTTAATGTTGGGACAGATGACATCGCCATTGAGGAGTCCAGTGCAATCATTAACGATGGGAAATACCATGTAGTCCGTTTTACGAGGAGTGGTGGCAATGCCACGTTACAGGTGGACAGCTGGCCAGTGATCGAGCGCTACCCTGCAGGTAAGCCAGTGAATGTGTATTGGGAGAAGATTTTATGAAAAACAAACTGGGAAACAAAGCACTATTTTGCGTCCGTTACACCAAATTGTGGGTTTTCTGAGAAACCAGCAAGTATTTATTGGACTTTGAAATCGTGTGAATGTAATGCTGTCCTAAACTGTTCTTGATACAGTGTACAATGACATTTTATAGGAGAACTTGAAGGCACACGGTATCGTTTGCAAAATTCAGGACATCAGTGAAACCAGAAAAATGCACACATAAAAGGCACAACATGTCAAAGCTCCTTTTACTGGATCTTTGCATTTGAACAAAGGAAAGGCTTTGTCAAAAGTAACAAAGTTAAAATCTAAAACTCAGGGAAGGAATATTACATACTTTTCTCTGAAAGAAAATTGGACCAGGTGGTTCCTTTGATGGTGGTGCAGAGCTGAAACTTGTGAAAGGTGCAGGAGGGCCATGGGACAGAGAAATAGTAAAGTAACAATATGTAGTACTATAAATCACAAGTTATAAGAACATGTAACTAAATGACATTTGTCTTCACTATCATATAACTATATGGGAGTTTCACAAGGATTCTATGACACTAGCATTATTCATTTCAGGTTTATAAAATGAATATTAAGCTATTATTGATAAAATAAAAATTACCTTTTTCATTGTTAATCAACTTTTTCAGTTCTACATTATTGAAACAGAAGCAGTAGATGAGAAACTTAAACCAAGGTTATCTGTGGTTGCATATGGTCTCAATTAAAAAAAAACATGTTATTTTTAAGTAAAATACAAATTGAAAGTATAATGGTTATTTTATTTCATTTATTATCCTCTTTATATTTTAGTACAAAGAGGTCACTAAGAACATCAGCCTTATTTCTCTCTACTCCCCTTTTAGATACAACTGACTTGTACAACAGATTTATAGCACAGAATAAAGAAAGAATATAAAAAGAAATTTCCATTTTATGCAGTAAAAATGATTGCCAAAATGTGCATAAGCCTCTGTTACAAGTATTTGTTTCTTGACAGAAATAATTTGAGGAAATAACTAACTTATTAAATAAGGATTAATTTTTCTTAATACTGACTCAACAATTAGGAAATGTTTAATGAAATGTCTGTGATGCCCTTCTGGACCTTTTCTGATTTAAAAACGTCTACATCTTCAAGCCTCATTTCAGACCTATTCTGTAAACCTGGTGCTCTGCAAATATTTGCTGAATTAAGTATAATAAAAAAACTCAACTCTATGACAAAACTCAGAAGCAAGCACATTAATATGTCTAGTACCCAATATAATACTGGCAAGCAGTAGGTATTCAATAAATATTTGCTGAATTGATGTCCTGGGAATTATCCTGATTTTACTCTGCAATTAAGAGAATGTACACCTACTTTTACCATCTGTAATAAGACAAAGGAATGGAAGATTTGGAAGAAAAGTAACTTAAATATGCATGCAATGTCACATGGCCCCTGCTAATATCTTTATTGCATTTACAGAAATCCTACTAGGTATTTTTTCATAAAATCTACAGCCTCAGTGAAATTATGGAAAAGTAAATTAGTGGATTTCCTAAAAAACAGATTAATCAATACCTATTTCCTGAGAGGAAGTTATTGCACTGGACACCATGGAAAATGTAAAGTAGGATAAAGTCTAGGCTCTGTCTCTGGGGGGTATTGTGTTTGTGAATAGTAGACTGAACATGTAAATTGACAAATCCTGTTACTACTGTAGTATGACAGTTGCCTCTTGAAGCCTAGCATTGTTTCACCAATTAACTTGTTCAAAGTATTTCTATTTATTTATTTATTTATTTATTTAAAAGATTTTATTTATTTATTCATGATAGACACACAGAGAGAGAAGAGAGAAAGAGAGAGCGAGAGGCAGAGGGAGAAGCAGGCTCCATACAAGGAGCCCGATGTGGGACACGATCCTAGGACTCCAGGATCACACCCTGGGCTGAAGGCAGGCATTCAACCGCTGAGCCACCCAGGGACCCCCAAAGTATTTCATTTTAGTAACTTTTAATGCTTATCACACTCTCCGTACTGCAGTCTGCAATAACTCTATTCTAGTGAATGCTAATGGTGACCTATGAGGGGAGAAAGTCCTACTCTCAAGTTAGTTTGGGAAAATCTCTATTAAACTAAGTATAAAATATGTATACTTGGACTTTATTGATATCCATAATGCATCTCTAAAAGAGAAATATAGTATGCACTTCCCAAGCATAGATAATCAGAACCTAGTTTTCTAATGTATTAATGCATTTGGGTAAATGTTTTATGTTTTAAAGGATTTCTATACCTCTTTCATATATTTTATCTGATTGACAGTCCTTTAATTTTGCACATACTAGATGCTATGTACTAGATATAGTTCAAAAAGGCATCACCTTTACTTGTGGCAAGCTCATGTTTAATTTGAATACTAGTCACTGAGATTGGGACAGTAAATTACTTAAATATTTGTCAATTATTTGTATATTTTTCTGGACTAATATTTGTTTAAAATATGCATTGTCTCATTTACCAATTAAATGGATGCTCAGTATAGGGAACAATACAAATATATTTAAAAATCAAAAGCTGGCAAAAAAACAGAAGCCGGAAATATCATAATAGTTAAGGAATAAATATTTAGAAATAGTTCTTTTAGATTCAACCTCTTTTGTATTTCATCAAAGATTCTATGTATCCTTTCAGTAAAAAGTATTTTAGGTAATATTAATTAATCAAGAGTGAGCAAAGTTGAAGAAGTTATTATGAAGGGTACAAGCAAGAGTAAAATGTAGAATCTGTCTTCAAGAATATTAGAGCATGTGGGGAATTTCAATATATACATTAAAAAAGTTAATGATCAATATGTAATGAACTCAGGGGACTCACCATTGTTGTTATCAGGCATTTTATTTGATTTTCTATGTTTTTAAATTGTTTTATTTATTTGAGAGAGAAAGAGCACAAACAGAGGAAGGGGAAGATGGAGAGGGAGAAGCAGGTTCCTTACTAAGCAGGGAGCCTGCCACGGGTTTAATCCCAGGACCCTGGGATCATGACCTGAGCAGAAGGCAGATGCTTAACAGACAGCCACCCAGGTACCATTCAAGTATTATATTAATCATCTGTTCTGTGTGCATTTCAGCATGATATTGAGGTAGGAAATAAGCCATGAAAATTCCAAGTACCTTTTTCTTTTGGAGCTTTATCTGTGACAATACCATGAAGGCTGAATACAAATCTAAAAGTATGTGTCATCTAGATTAAAGTTTTTAGAACAAAGCGATTTTACATATGAATTCAATAGAAATGTCTAGTACCTCTCTTGTATATTGGTTTGTGGTATGACTATTTTTACTTTAAAAGTTTTTTTATTGTTGTTACTCTTCATTAGAAAAACAGCTGGACTAATGCTTTTACCACCAAATCCTATAATCAGAGAAGCAGGAACCAACAGACTATATTTGGTTCCTTTTAAAGTGCCTGCACTGCAAAATATAGGTAATAAGGATTGAAATTAGTAATTAAGTATAGCACTTAACCTTCCATTATAGGGCTTTGTGGTAAGTGCTTTTATATGAAGCAGTTCATCTGGTAGCAACGCTATACCTTTAATGAAAAGCACCTAAAGCATTGACCAGTGGTATTACCCAGTAATTGTCTGGAAGGCTTTCATAGAGAAACTAATTAGTAGAGGTAGATTTTATGCTCTTTTTCAAGTATATGAAATATTCCTTTAGCTCAACAATTTATATTGTTGAGTTAAATTAGAATAAATATTGAATTTTCTGAATAGCAGACCCAATTTCAATTATTTTGTGTACATGGAGCAATGAATAGGAATAATATTTTGCAAGCCATTTAAAGTTGAGAAAGCCATTTATTGGTATTTATTAGTTAAAGCTCTAGAATATAATGCATCGTTAATCTCTGATTTGTTCCTAATTATAGTTATGTAGCAAAATTTCTCTCTTAACAAAAATAGATTTTCTTATCTCACAATGTTAATCCACAGAACATAATATCCTCTTACTTGCCCAAACTAAAGATTGCTCCAGGTAGATTGTAGTTACCTTTGAAGATAAACCTTTGAGTTCATTTGTCTACCAGTGTGCCAAAAAATGTCCTTTACACAAGGCCAAATATTCATTTTATTTCTGTCAAATTAACACATCAAATTAACAAGTATTTAAGGGATATATATACTATGTTAAAGGGGGACATACTGAGCTTACCATCTGGTTACAGAGATACATAAAAATTGTCGGAGATTAAAAATATACTATATGAGAAAATACAAGAGTTATCATATAATATACAGTTAATTTCTGATTTAAAAAAATACAAAAAAGACTTTGCCACCAAGCTGGGAATCAGGGAGATGGCTGGGACTGACCCCAAGACCTTGCAGGATCTCACCTCGGTGGTGCAGACACTCCTGCAATAGATGCAAGATAAATTTCAGACCATGTCCAACCAGATCATTAGAAGAATTGATGACATGAGCAGTCGCATTGACAACCTGGAAAAAAAACATTGCAGACTTCATGACCCAGGCTGGGGTGGAAGGGCTGGAGGGGGAGAACAAGATCCCTGCCACACCAAAGAGCCGAAAGCAGCTAAATCACACTGAAGTCCAGAACAGCATTTTTACAAGCCGGCAGAAGACTGAATGGCTTTCTGAAGCAACTGCTATGTGTAGACAGGTTTTCTGTTCTGAAATGTGTGTTCTTCTTACAACATACTGTATAGTTATACTGTAGAGTAATCCTCTCTCCCGGTTTCTTGAACTCCACATCTTGGATCTTGGTCAGTTGTGCTGTTAAATATTAAACACTAAAACTTTGGTGGTTCTACAAAAAAAAAGAAGAAGAAGAAAGAAAAAGAAAAAAGAAGTACAAAAAAGGGGGGGAAATACATTCTAAGGAAGAAGAATCGATTTTGGAATGAGTGGTCTAGTAAGCCTGTGAAAAAAACTGGAAACTTGA